AGTGACTGGGCTGATTGAGTAAGTCTGAACAAACCACCCACCCTCCCCTCCCCAACTGCCCTCAAACGCACACTCATACACGTCACCCGACCCCAGCACAGAGATCAGAGGGGGTTTGATGGTGGTTCAATCCCAGCAGGAGATCTCAGATAACCTGCTCCCTCTTTTAATGACGGCTCTACAAATTATTACCACTTGATTTATACTGTTGAGTCAGGGTGAGCGGGCTACAGTTACCGTCTGGATTTCAGCACAAAACCTAAACCTTGTTCTCGATTAGGGGTTTAAAGTTCGTTGGGTTTCATCTTCATTTGTTGTGTTAAATTATCTGAAGCCTGTTGACTGCTTGACTCACTGCCCTTAAAGTTATGAAACACATTGTTTCACCTTGTTAGTTAATCCTTCACGTCATAATGTTTGTCTTTAGAGAATTAAATACCCCAAAATATACAAAATATTTGGCTTCTTTTATTATAATATTAAAACCTGACTGTATCTCCTTCCTACTGAGCTAAATTGTATTTATTTCTCTCAGTAGCTTGCCAGTAAGGATACTCACATGTGCCAGAAGGCATAGGCAGTAAAAATGCCAATTTCTTGTTTTTAAAATTAAAAGGGTTGTAATAACATACAATGGGTCATGGTTTTAGTTATAGTTCTGTGGCTAATAGGGATGGCAATGTCAGTCTGTCTTTGGTACAGACTGAAATATCTCAACAACTATTTGATGGATTGCTATGAATTTTGCATTTATTCAAAGTGCCCAGAGGATGAATCCTGACTTTGGTGATCCCATGACTTTTCCTCTAGCGCTGCCATTAGTTTGTGGTTTTGAGTGAAATGTCTCAACAACCACAGTTTAGATTGCCATAAACTTTAGTTCAGATATTTATGTTCCCCTCAGGATGAATTCCAATAACCTTTGTGACTTTTCAACTAGTGCTATCATCAAGAAACAGATCACAACACCACCTGAGAATCTTGCCAAGCTTTAAGCTATGCTTTGTGTCCCAATCACTGAGGTTTAAAACCAGTGGTTCCTAAGCTCTTTCTTTAAGAAAGAGGACCCCTGTTCTATGGATGAGAAAACTAAAGACCCCCGAACAAGTGACATATTGTATGTATATTTTATATTCAATGTATAACAATAACAGTGCAGAATAACTGATAAACTGTGCAGTGAACCCAAACAGTGAACACAATAACTGCGGGAAGTTTGTGGAAAACAAGCAAATTGGATGAATTTTGAGCAGATTATTGCCCAATTTTAAAAACAAGAAATTGGCANNATATTGATCAGAGATGAGTTTTCAATATTTTTAGGAACTTTTCTATTCTTTGTCTGTATTGTGTTTTTTTCCTAACAATTATACATACTATCGAAACTGTCTAAACTTAAATACAATTTCATTTGGTTTTCTTTACAGAAATGAATGAACTGCTGAGATATAGACCTACTGCGTATACTTTTAAGTTTTCTTAAAAACTTTTAAGAAGGCTTTGCAACCACCCATAACGCTTTAGTGACACCTAGTGGCGGTCCAAGCCTTTGAGGAACTACTTGCAGTTACAGCATGAGCTACGTGACAACATGTGTGAGAAGTGACTGTTTGCTTAATTACATCAGAACTGGAGAGTATTATTTTCTTCATTGAAAGAAGAGCTAAGAACGGCACTGAAAGCTTTTCTCAATGGAAAGCTCTTCTCCCGACTGGCTTCAGTAAGAAACTAAGATGGTAAACATGGTTATACCTGCTAAACACCAGCATGTTAGCATTGTCGTTGGCTGTAGTCCTGTTTTGTTGTCAAGCCCTCAGATCTTGCAGCCTGATTCTTGTGACTATAATTTGATAGCTAAAAACATTTGGGATCTTAAATGGACTTTTAAATGTCCCTCTCCTGTCTGTTCATCCAGGGTAAATGTGAAACTGTAAAAGCAAGACACAGTCCTCAGTAATCCAGCGCATTGTGCTGAAAGTGCAAGTGTTGCTCTGTGAATACAGGTGTTTCTCTTTGAGTGATAAGTGTTTTAACCCACTACACACCTGAGCCTCCGGTAACACCTCTCCATTCAACAGTGGTCCCCCTGCCAAAGCTCTTAATGGCCAAATGGCTCTCTCCACGCCTCGGCCCTGCGCTCACACTCACGTGGGGAGGTCTCTGAAATGAAAATGTCATTATAAAACATTTACCAGCCTGCTGAGTTTACATGTCTTACAAGAAAAGGACCGTTTGGAGCGGTTAAGTGTCACATAAATCTTTCAGCACGCTAATTGAAGTGGTTTCCCCAATAGGCCACTCTCCACAGCTGCTATTACAAAACGCACAACTGCGGATGGGATGGCCAGCTGCAAACCAAATCTTACACCCACTTGATAATGTTGTTAAGACACACACACGGTGCTCTGTGGATTGCTGCTGCTGCTAGTTTGCTCAGGCAGCTCCACTGGGATTTTGCAACGTAGTCGTATGTAAACACAAGTCATCTTTCAGTGAAATACGCTATGAGAGGCGGCAAGTATGTTCTCCCCTCCCTTCCCTTCTCTTCTCCTGGAAATGCAACTTATTTAAAGCTTATTTAAGCAGGCAAGTTGAAGAGGAACATATTGTTATTTCCAGCAGCAGCCTGGGGGAGTAGTTGCAGGAGGCGGCGGGGTTACACCTACAGTATGCACCAGCTCACATTTGAAAGCTGGTGTGCTACAGCTAGCTGCCGAGCATCTCCAGCAAAGCTTCCGAGGATTATATGCTCTGAGTTTTATGCTACTGCGCTAGTTAACAGAGATCACCTTCCAGCTGATTGGAACGAGCCCAATTCAGGTCTCTAGTCTGCCACCGAAAGCGAAAGCTTTATCGTCGTATATCAGAGCATCAAGTTCAAAACTGTGCAGGTCCGTTAAACTCTGGAGGGCTTTTTCATGGCTCAGGAATTAAGGAGAGCTAAACTGTGACACTCAAACTTGATGTATTCCACCTCCCGCTCCATCTTCCCTCTCTGTCCTTCAAAACTTCTCTGTTCCCTGCCCTTCCTATATTTATCTCTCCTCCTCCTTCCCATTACATTGTCTTGCTCACTGCTTTTCTCTGTCTTTATCTCTCTCTCTCTCTCTCGCTCTCTCTCGTCCTAATTGCCACAGAACCTGTTGATGAAAATCTATAAGTGTTTTTTGATTATGGGCCAGAGCTGAGACAGTGGAAGAGAGGAGTGTACACACACACACACACATATACTCGGAACATTGGATTGTGTCCATCAAGGATTAGTGGGTTTTTCATGCAGAGGTTCCCACACTGGTTTGTTACACAGAAACATCTCGGAAGTTGTCATTGGAAGCTGTTTGGGAAAGGGCAGGCACTTTCAAAAAAAACATGAACTGTATGTCTATCAACCTTAATACAGCTATATCTATCTATATAACTTAGTCAAACTTTTACTTAAGCCAGTCAGAAGGAGGCTGATAACATCTTTTCCTTTGAGAAAAGTCCTGAGTGCCATACTTTGCTCTTCTTTCAATGAAGAAATACTTCAGTTCTGATATAACGCTTACCTCTTGGGAGTCACCATTGTTGTTAAACAATGTCTTCTCGCTCACACCTAGCGCCCCCTTCCGTAGCTGCCAATACTTCCTCAAAGGACTGTGATTAGTCCTGTACCCCTGTATCAGCCGCAAACACACAGATTAAAGCCTGTCAAGTCCCAGGTTCCTGACACTCCACAAAAAAAGTGTTTCCTGCATTAAACTCATGGCACATTGCAGTGCATATTATGCACATTTTCAATTTACACATAAAAAACCTAAGTGCAATGCACGCAGGAAAAGTATGGAATTAGATTTTGGTCATTTCCAGGTCTGGATGAGTATGGAAAAAAGAGAGTATGGAAGAATATGCGGTTCCAGACTATTGTCCCTACCGTCCCTTTTTTTTCAAAAAATAAAATGTAAAATTCAGGTTTAACGGTTTTATTAGCGCTAGTAACAGTGATGGTTGGAAAGTCACCTAAATTTAATTTTACTGATTTTCCGGAAATTGTATTAAAATTGCTGCCACATCTGGAGGGAAACTTCACAAATGACATTGAGACAATCAAAACAAACATTTTCCCCATCTAAATACATCCATTCTGAATTAAGTCTCTGAACAGACGGCGGCGGTTGCCAGCCGCCAGGTAGCCCCAACACAAATACTGTATGCAGGTGGGAGAGTAGATCGAGGGCGCTTTGATGGCTCTCTTTTTCCAGGTGACACTCTCTAATGTCTGAGTGGTCATCACCGGGGGGTCCCTCTCTCTCCGCTATATGTGGGCCATTCACAAAGTAATAACTGCACCACGCTGTGCCCATCATGCCTCGCTGCCAAACCCTCCTCGGCAACACCTGGCACCATGGTAACCAACACCTGTTCACCTAATTAGAGGGACACTGGAGGGAGAGGAGATGAGAAAGTTAATGAAACGCTAATCTGGTCCAATCAAACGCCCGGGCATCTGCCTCCTCGCTGCAGCAGCAGGCCGCCGTAATGGCCGCCTTATGCGCGCCTCCCCCGCCACGCCACCTTGAGTGACCTCATCAATGCCAAACCTCCACTGAGAGGCCGCGAATTGAGGAAAGCCGACAGGAGGAAGTGGGAGGGAGAAGAGAGGGATGCCGGCAGGCTGCTTCCTGGATGGACAGAGTTGCTGGACGGCGAGGTGTCAGCCAAATGAACGAGCATTAAGAGATGAGGTTCCCTGTGCACAGCAGTTGGAGCGGCTCCAGGTCGCACCAGCTGCGCTGCTCTTGTTTACAAGTCGCCACCTGCTGCCAGAGAGGCCTGGTGCTCAGGTCTGATTCTGAAGAGCATCTTCTGGTCCGCTGATATGAAGTGTTTGACACTATTTGTGCTGAAATCTAAAGGAACTGGAGTGTTTTTGAGTCACTGAAAGGTTGAAGTTAGCTGATCGTCTGTTGGTGTCTTCTTGTATGAGCTCTACTGAACTTTGCTTCTGTTTCATCCAACAGGAAACTTCAAGGGGATGTGTAAACAGATAGACCACTTTCCTGAGGAAACAGATTACGAAGCGGACCCATCTGAGTACTTCTTGCGTGAGTATCTTTGTCTCACTATTTTCACACAGAGAAATCCTGTTTGCACATTAAGTGTCTTAGAAGTGACCACGAGGGGAAAATAAATCACATCAGGCTCTTCTCCCCATGTTCTCTTGACATTTACTCTGAATATTTAAAACATTTGTCCCACTTTTTTTTGCTCTGTCTGAGACTGGAGCGCGGTGCCAGTAACTGCTTTTGGCCCGTGTGTCACTGCTGTCTCTGCCTGCTTTTAGCACGAGGCTGGCCAGGCTGAGTCCTGCCAAGCAGCTCGTCTGTTTTTACTGCTTGGCTGTGTGTAACATAACGTGCAGTGTTACAGTCGGCTGTGTACCCTGTAAACACAGCCCATTGATTTCTGCTCTCTTTACCTTTGTCTAAGCAAGACAGAGATGCTTGTCGAACTCATTTGCCTGCTAATCCTAAAAATCACAACAATGACTCGGAGCTCATGATGTACTGTTAGTATCGCTAGCTCAATACTCTCTTCTGATTGGCCAATTAATGTGCCCCAGATGTTATTTGTGACTTACAGACTCCACAGTCATGAAGTCTGAAATTAGAAACAGATTTAATATACTCATATTCGCGACACTTTTCATTACCGGTTAGAACGAATGGTGATATTCATTTGAATATGTTGCTACGGTTACCAACTGATGCTGAAGACAGCCATTTCTACGGTCACTGTCACATTGTAGCAACAGAGACAAGCTACGTGGCTACGTTTTACGTATTCTCCGGGCTGTGTTGTAATATTGCTATGCGTATTTTTTGAACACACTAAACCAGGAAATCTACTGTTACATCAGCAGATTATAAATTGGTTTTAATTTTGGAAGGGCAATAATGGAAATGTTGCAGTTGTGTGGTTCTGGTCCAATGGGAAGGATTTTCTTTTCTCATTTGGATGTGTTCTTTGTTGTAGGACAATCTGTTTAGAAAACTTTTTGGATATCCTCACCGCATTGGAAAAGCATCGGTTGGAGGATTATAGAACATGTAAGGGTCCAATCACCGATCACTGGAAGCAGCATCGGCCAATACCGATCACTGCGTTTACTTAAAGCCTTCTGTTTATAGTGTAGCCTTATTTATTTAACTATTCTTAACAACATTGTTTATTAAGTATTAACACTGAGAGATGAGAAAAAATCATGAGTTGTTTATTTATTGGCAGGCAACATATTCCACTCTCTCTTTTAGAGACACAACTTAAACCATAAGAGCCTGGTTATTGGGAGCAGCTTAGAGCTTAACAAATATACAGTGTTTCCCAGACAATTACAGTGTAACTGTAGCAGGGGAGAAGAGGCGAATATAATATATTTTTCATTTCACCATTTTAATTCTACTTACTTCTCCACTTTATTTGAATGTTCTAGTGTTTACTGACAAACTACTTGAATCTGTATTTAGCTATAACTCTCCTGTGGAATGAAATAAATGTGTCATCTGACAGCATTTTTAAAGACTGCCAATCAAACTATTTAGAGCTAATATTGGTCGATAACGATCAGTTACCGATCAATAGGAGCACCCTTACATAACAAATGCAACACAGAAATATTACTTCTACTTGAATTTGGATATTGTAGTCACTGCTCCACCACGCCTGCTGAGAGTCTATAACAAGTTGAATGTTTAATTATAATCACTGCTTTTTTCAGTATAACGAGTTCTGTAAGGGATTACAACTTGAAATTCAGTCTTTACATTACAGTTGCTAATCCCAGTAACGCTCCATTACTTCAACAGTTTTTGGGGTCTGCTTGTTCGCTGTCTTAGTGGGAGGTTGATGGGGGAGTTGATGGGGGAGTTGATATCAGTTTGGACTGAACAGAAAAGGAGGAATGAGACTCCCAGGAACTCCAAAGTTGTCTTAATTACATGCTTTGGGTTCTTAGCTGACTTAGCTAATGTTAGCCACTGATAAGCCTAACATACATTCAGGAAGAGTGTGAACTCTAGCCAAAACCTTCACTGCGAGGACGGGGCTTTTTAAACCATAATGTCTAATTTTTATTTCCACACGTGTTAAATACACAATATGTGACATGTGGGGAGGCTGTGGCGTTGTTTAAGGGCTGAGCAACACAATTAAAAGAGTTCTCCATCGATTTAGCATCGCACCTTTAAAACATGTTGGATCATGCAGAAGAACCAGAGTCTGTTAGTCTTTTTTATTCCTCAAATTCTTCCTCCTTGTCAAAACCTGGCGCCTACATTACCCACAATGCAACGATGCGACGATCAGCAATTCGCTCAAGGATTTGGGTGTGTTAGCAGCAGCTAATGTAGCTTCTAGCCTCAAGCAGAGATGAATGAGGAGCAGGCTCCAGAGGTCTGTTAAACTCACTGCATACACCCTTTGATGTTTTTTCATTTTCAAACTTGTTCCAACACACAGCTCCAACCAACGCTGCCTTGTGTGACATCACTTGAGGACATTTATCATACTTCACACAGCTCAGCAGTTCCCCTTTAATGTAACAAGTAATGTAACTAATTACTTTTGCTGTTGGGTGATTATTAAAATAATGTTGTTTTCTCAGTGATGACTGATGATTCACTGATCATAAAGTGTATTTCTTTGGTATATTTGACAAACACGCCAATGTCCCGAGCCCCTGTTGACCCCTGATGTGGTACACACTCCTCCCCTGCCTCTCCGCAGCCTGCAGTAGTTTGAAACTAGAAGTCAGAAAGTGTCCGTCTCCTCATCTCCATCAGCGGGGACAGTAATTGAGGCCTCTCAGAGAGCTGAGCAGTGCGTGCCAGTGCTGGAGATTAAGCCCAGCCAATTAGGCTGTGTTTGACTTAGTGCTCTGAGCGGTTGTTCCCGTCCATATGTGCCAGAGAGAATGGTTATGATAACAGCTCTGGTAATGATTCTAACTATGCCGGAGCCTTGGCGAGGGCAGATCAGTCTTATGAAGAGGCGTCTCCCAGGCTGGGGATGACAGGGTCGCGGGGAAGAGGCCGCGCTCCGGCCCTCGGACCACCGGTGCTCATCTGCATGCCTGTGTGTGTGTGTGTGTGTGTGTTAACCTCTTCCCAGGCTGTGATTGGAGGAGAAGGCCGCAGTGCTCCCAGTGGCTTGCCAATTAGGACACTCACATCCATAAATATTTCAGCCTCCTTCTTATATAGGTCAGGCCTCTCTCGATCGCTGTCTCTCACACTCTGCCTCTCTTCACCCTCACACCCGTAATATTTCATGTCAGGAGTTGTACAACACCTATTGTCATCTCTCAGGCTTGAAAGAGAGCCCCGATGATTTAGAGGATTAAACTATTTCTTGGGTGCACCAAGAGGTCATAGAGGACACATCATCTTGGTGGGTGTCTCCGTGTTTAACCCGAGTGATGTATTTTTTTATATCTGTCCATTTCCATTTCATGGACACACACCTGGTATTTCCATAATGAGGAGTTTCACGGCGCCTCTGGGTGGCCAAAGACAGAGAAAAGCTGCCTCTGCTCTCACATGCAGGAGAGGGAGAGGGGGGATAGTTATGCAACAGAAATGATGTCACTTCAGGTGAAGGCCCAGCGGAAGTGACATCGCTGGGGAGCTCGCCGGTCCAAAATCGAGGGGACACACCGGTGATGTCATCAAACAGCGTAGCGAGGAGGAGGGAGATATTTGGTGCTGCGGTTGCTGAGCAGAAAACACACAAATCTGACTATATTGTGCTAAACATGCACCCCCGCTTCATCACACAAACACACACTCTGATCTGCTGTCCTTATGCTGACATACACACACAAATACATACAAACACA